GTCAGTGTCAGCCATGTGGATGAGTCACGGCCATTGCTTGGCCAATGTGCTCTCTGTGAAAGCCTGAGAGAATGTTTTCTCTCCATGCAGTACATGAATTTTTGAGGGACACAACATTAAGTCTATAAAAAATCAGTAAGAAAAAATCCTCATGGATTCCGTTTTTAGCCTCTGGAGTCATTATAGTCCCTGATAGCTCTAGAGGGTTGCCATCTAGGGAATTTTTTCTCTTATAAGAACTTACAGGTACAATTCAGAAGTCTCAGTTTTTAAGGTGTTTTTCATGTTTGTTATATCTGTTTTTAAAGACTTCAAGAATATCAAAATAATGAATACTCTTAGAGGACACTGCCTGTACCCCTGATCATGGTTGTATATATATACACACAGTGATATACACATTCTCACTCACATTCATGTACCTTGTAGTTAGTCATGTTTTCCACTATTGAAACATTATACCATAACCTAAAACTTTAAAGGAGAAGAAGTTTAATGGTTTTTGCTTTCAGGGGATTCAGTGTATGATCAATTAACTCCAAGTCAGAAACATGATGGGTGAAGGGCATGGCAGAGCAAAGATTCCTAATTCATGATGTCTGTGAACCAAAACAGGGGAATAGTGCAAGTGAGGAGTGAATAAAGGATCATATATAGTACTTAAGGTTGTGTTTCTACAACATGTACAGACACACCCAGACATGTAGTTTGCCAATTCTCTGGGCAGCTCCAAAGCCAGTGAAGTGGAGACTCAATCTTAACCCTTAAACCTGGTAAACATAGTAGAAGACTAGAAACATATAGAGTTCTATTCCTGACCAAAACCAAGTTTTGATTCATAAAAAATGCCCACAGCTGACCAAAGCTATAGTGAATAACCTGGAACTTAAATCCGGCCCCTTGAGTCCAAGTATAGCATTCCTTTCACTACTGCACCAGTCCTTTAGCCTTCTGCTCTTGCAGCCCAGGGTATGGTTTTTGTAATCCTTTGTGACATGTTTTTACAGTACAGTTTATATTTATTTATTATTCATTTATTTATTTATTTGCAGAACCGGGGATTGAACTCAGGCCCTCGCACTTGCCAGGGAAGCGCTTATTCCACTGAGACATCCCCCTTGCCCCTATTGCTTATATTTAAACAAGAAAATGAAAATATCTTAAAGAGAGAGTGATCCAAATCCCATTTAGATGGATGAGTACTGAGGATTCCTTACCAGAATTCCATAGATCATGGATATTCTATGGCTTGTTGTCTATGTAAATATGTAGAATAACCTTATTCCTTTCCTAGTATAGATTCTGTATTCCTCCCATTTGTTTAAAAAGGATAAACAGGAAGAGAAAGGTGGAAAAGGGAGAGGAAGGAAAAGGAGGGAGGCAAGGAAGGAAAGGAGGGAGGGAATGTTCAAAGAAGGCAGGGAGGGTGAGAGAACAGATTGGTGAGGATTTCTGTGGACAAGTGTTATAAATCAAACAGAAGCAGTGCTCTTTTGTCTCTGATACCTCCTTGCCTCCTAGGTATTTGAGCAGAAAAGATGGCTGCCGAAAGCATCTACCTAGTAATTTCAGCTTTATTTGTCAAATGAAAAACTGCGATAATAGGAGAAAACTTTGGAAGTTAATTTCCCTAAGGAGAAGTTGGAAGAATGGTGACAATTGGACAATTGATGCCTACTGAATAGACCAAAGGATTTGGCTAGAGAGCCCAAAACCTTACATTATATCAAGGCCTGCCTCCTTTCCCTCATATTTCTTTATGAACTTTCCAGTTATCTTTGCCAAGCTTCAGTTACTCTCCCTGCCTACTGCCATCTTTTGAGGACTAGAATTCTTGAAGTTGCCCTCCCTTTCCCCATAGCTCAGGACTCCTGAAAAATGATCAGATGAATTAGATTATCACCGATCCCTCCAATAAAACAATACAGAAGATTAGGAAAGGACCAGGGAAAAGAACCTATTTCCAGACACTACAGATTGTGAAAGTTTTCCATTTCTAAGGCTGAGATTTGTTGAGCTGTTACCTTGCCATAGTTGACACTCATCAAATGAAAAGGAAAGGAAAGGAA